CTGGTTTGATTCATTCAAATTTATTCCACAGCAAAGCTTCTTTAAGTTGAAGATGGAAACATACTGCAATTTTGTTCTATGATGCCAGTTGTTAACTTCTGAAGTTTTTATTAAAACATTTTTATTCTAAGAAGATTGCAGGTGATAAGAACATTGTTGTGAGGGAATGACGCGAAACACTGGGGACAAAGTTTAAAATAGTGCTGTGTTAATATTTTTATCAGAATTAATTGTTCTTTTATTTTTTTAACAAAAATTATTATCCAAACTTTTTTGTTAATTTTTCTGTGTTTTCTGTTTATTTTTTTATTTTTTAAAAAGAGATTTTAATTATATTTTTAAGTTAATTTATTGTGTAATTTACGTGTTAATTCTATTTTTAAATTATTCATAGAGACATTATCAGAAAGTAATTAACTTCATGCATATAATATAAAATATAATTATCGGATTTGATTTGAAATATGTTTTACTCAGTATAAACTGTACAAAAAAAAAGACAGATAGATTGCCTTTGATTTTATAATATTAATTTATTTCGCATTTTTAATCATATGTAAGAAAAATAATATTTAATTCAACATCTAGTTTAAACTGCAAAGTAATATGTTGCGTTGTTTATAGTTATGCATATGCCTAAACGTTTTACTTTTAAATTATTTCCATCAAAATTAGTTTAAAGAAACATTTCCAATATAAATACATTGGTTAGTAGTTAATATTTTCAACTACTTAATCATCATTATAAAAGTGTACCATATCAAAACATAATTTGGGACACAAATGTAACTTTTTATTCATTATTTTTTCCTTGCTAGGGGCAGTGTAAATTTTTTGACTTATCAAGTGGGTGATGATTTAGTAAAGGCATGACTAGAATAGGGCTCTGGATTTACAAAACTTGATAGAAAAACAACATGTACACTCCATCTCAGAGATAGCAAACCTTTTTCGATTAATGTGAATGTTTGTTGCAGTTATGGTTTATTATTTTTGGATGTCTAGGGTGCTACTTGTTAATTTTCTTTCTTAAATAAACTTAAATCCGTTGTACTTTGACTTTAAACTAGAATTTCATTGAGTGACCCTGTTCGCTGTTTAAATGTTAATTTACTTCGAATGGAAATCAAATATATAATATTTTAAAATATTTTAGTTTAATATTAAGCTAAGGTAAGAAATCTATCACGTTACGAAATATAAGGTAAAATAGCTACAGTCTACACTCCTTAAATTTACATTCATGCTCAAAATTAAAAAGAAAGTTTGGTTGAAAAAAAACTTAAAATTAACAGGAAACAAAATTCATAAAAATTGGCTTAGAATAATAAATTGTTCTATTTAAATATGGGATATTATTAGAAAAGTTTCAGAGTAACTAAGACTGGGCGATGTAAGAAATTTTATTTCGTGATATACCGACAGGCCTGAACATTTTGAAATTGTTTTTAACCTAAATTAAATAAGTAAAGTAATCATGTGTAAAAAAGTGGCAAAAAAAAAATTGTCGATTAAATTAACAGTATAATTTATTTATTTTTATTACATCAGTTGAACTAAATCCTTCTCTTTGTCCAATTTTTACTCCTTCCTTTAAGGGTATTATTGTTGGTTTACCATTTTTTGAAAATACATAGGCTCCATAATGCATTACTGATCCATAGTCGTAACTGAAGTTGAAAACTTTAACCTCATTCCAGGAATATTTTTCAAATTGTAATAGTTTTTCTGCAAAACAAAAGTGTAATTCATTGAAACATTTTAAAATATAGTTACTAAAGTAGAAAATTTAAAATTCCATAAAAAAAGTTACTATCTTCCTCCCTTAATTTTTCTGCTTCGTTTGCGAAAATAATTTCAAGAACAAATTTCAACAACGGCATTGTGTAACTGCTTTCTGCCTAAAAAAAATAAAAAAAACAATTACACGATCTGGCCAAAGATGTTTGGATGCCCAGTGGTATGTATTTGGAGAGCCCTGAGGCATTTATCAACAATGCGTCAACGCCCTTTTTGCTTCTTCGATAGCCTTCATACGTCTGGGTTTTCCTTTAGCTTTTGGTAGATGACCACAGGAGTTCACTTTTCGATGTGTTCATCACAACTGAAGTGAGTTCTGGTAGGGAGGATGGCTACCCATATATGGCAGTACTTTTACTTTCGTTACTTGTACCGCCGGTACAAGTAAAAAGTACGTACTTTTACTTGTACTTCGTTACTTTTTAAATTTAGTACTTTTACTTGTACTTTCGTTACTTTTTTAGGGAAAAAGTACAAGTATTTGTAACGGAAATGTCGAATGAAATCGTTACTTTTTTCTAAAACTCGGTAAGCTTTCTAAAAAAAAATTTAAAAAAATGCTGTCAAAATGCAATTATTTTGCAAAATGAATAAAAATATTAATTTGGAAGTTATTTTCATTCATTTCCGAGTTTTATGCATTTGTTTAATACATTTTAAATAAAAATTGTTGGATTTTGTTATTACGTTTTTCAATTTTCTTTTTGATCTCACTAATAATACATTTTTGTCTTAATACATTTTTTACTAAATACATTTTTACCTAGTACATTTTTTCCTAAAATTATGTTTATGCCCGACCTTGTCAAACAACGCCCAGTCAAATCTCTAAGAACTTCGGAACTATTTGTGCTACTGAAAACTATTTTACTATTTTAACTCTTGAAAACTCGAAGGTATTAATTTAGCCGCTGATACTAAAATTCGTTTACAAATTTTAATCATTCCGTTTGGCAGAAATGTTCGGAAAATGATTTTCTCGCATGACTTCAGCATTAGCCATTGTTACAAATAAAACTGTAGACTGTTCTGTTTCAACTTATACTGCACATTCAATTATTTTTTACCAGCTCAAAGATCACAAAGCTATCTGAAACCCCGTGTTTGCTTTGTTTATGTTTGTGCTTTTAAAACGCGTTTCTATAGAGTAAAACAATTTTAAATCAATGGTAATTTAAATAAATAAAAATAATAAACTAAAAATTAAAATCAATAGATAAAATTTCTTTTTCGTGCAAATCCATAAAAAGTTTGATATTAAAATTATATTTGATTTTAAAATTATATTATACGATTATATTATAAAATTATATTATAATATTCTTCCGAATTTAAAAATAAATTAAGATCCATAACTTTCAAAATTAAAAATAATAAATAAATAACAATTTTGCAAAAACATTGAAGAACATAAGAATATTATCAATAAAATTTTAGGTTACTTTGAAGTTTCAATTTCCTAGAAATGTACTTTTAAATCGTTACTTTTTTTGTTTAGTACTTGTACTTTTACTTGTACTTTTTATTCGTTACTTTTCAAAATAAGAACTTTTTACTTTTTACGCGTTACTTTTTTTAAAAATACTTGTACTTTTACTCGTTACTTTTTAAAAGTAACGTTGCCATATATGTGGCTACCTAAATTGTGTTCTTATTCGTCCTTAAGGTGTTCTATGGGATTTAGATCGTGGCTCTGACACGACAAATCCAGTATCTGGTTTTTTGAAACTAGGGTTGAGCAAGTCAAAAAGAGAATGAATAGAGCACTGTTGGAAGAGAAAAGTGCCTTCCCTGAAATATTGCCTTCAAGTTGGGAGAGCGGCATTGTCCAGAATGTTCGCAGGCATCTTACTGTTCAGGGTTAGTAGTTGTCTTGATATCTCTGATAAAAAATATCCCTGGTTTTTTAGCATTTTGTCCGGATATTCCTGATTTTTGTGTGCTTTCAGAACATTTTTTAAGCATTCAAATGCGGATTTTTAAAAAAGAGATTTCAGTCAACGTAATCATATGATCTTTAAATGTTCAATTGAGGGGTCTTTCACTAAATTAGTTTTATACAAAAATGTCAAAGAGTTCATTGTATTTTTATTTCGAGATTATTGAAATCCTGCTTAAAAATCATTTAAATATTGGTATGAGATAATATTAACTAATTGATGCTGGTTATTTTTTTTTCTCTTGCAACACTATTATAACAATTTTACATTTATTTATTTGAAAGTATAATGATTTATCCAGTATTAATAAAGTTATACTGGAAACTGTTAACACTTTTTGTTCTAAACATAGTAATTCTGAAATTAAAAATAGGATATTTTATTACTCTTTTGCTATGAAATTTGCTTTCACTAAAGTAGAGCAAATTATACTTTTTTTTTTGTTTCCCTTTTTTAAAAGTGGTCTGATGTAGGTAGGGTTAGTTTGAGGGTAATTATGATCACTTTTGATTTTTTTATATTTTGAACTATAGTATGTATCTCTAAACAATAAATATTTTAATGACACAGGGTGATTCTTTAAGAATGTATGAAAGAAAATCGATCATCTAAGTCACATATAAAGTCACTAAGTCACAAAGGGGTGCTCATTGAATAATATTCTACTAAATTTTAAAAAAAATGAAAATTAGGGGTAATTTTGATCACACGTGGGAGAATTATGACCATTAACTGATACATATTCCAGAACTGTTGTTGATTCATGGTTAGCCCATGTAAATACCCTAATTAGTACCTTCCATTTTTCACCAATTCCAAGCACGTGGAAGGGATCGTGATTAAAAATTTTATCTGACGTTGTCTGTTTTTTCTTTTTATGATTGATTTTAAATTTTTGTGAAAATCCTAATACAATTTCGAAATTGCGTTAGACTGGCAAAATGACTGGTAGTACTTGGCTTACTTCAAGGATAACAAAGGTGTCTTTTTATAAAGCTCATCTACCAGTCCTTTAGTTAACCATCCATAAAAATTTTAGTTTACCATCCTTAAAACTTTTCCTCTCATTTGCTGCTGACTCAGTTTTTGGCTGATTCAGTTTCTTTCCTTTTACCATCATAGCAGAGTTGCATCGTTTTTTAGAAAGTAAGAAGGTTGATGCTTCTTTTTTGTGTACTACATTCTTGGCATTTTTACGCGAAAGAAGACAAAATGTTACCAATTTGAAATTAACTTAAAATGATCAAAATATATTCTAGATAACAAACTGTAATACGAACAGAAAATAATAATTAAAAGTGTAAGAAATCATAATTGGGCTTAGTTATAAATCAATTTACACTTACTAAACTTTCTTCAACGGTTGAAATCACTTTAATCAACATACGCCGAAACTATTTTTTAAAGATTTGGAGGATTTTTTTTAGAATCATTCGAATACTAACACAAAATTTTAATCTAAAACCATTTAAAAGTTTTCGAAACAAAATATTCACTTAAAACTTGATGAAACATATTTTTCAAAATTCTTACACTAATAGAGTGTTTTTTTAAAAATACCGCTGGTTACAATTACTCTAACCCTCCTATAGTGTTCACCGAAAAAATGTCCTGATTTTTTGAAAATTGTTGTCCTGCTGTTTTCTTTGTTTCACTACGAGGCCTATGTTTCCAATCAGAGGAACCTAGACTAAACCAAGCAAAACACCTCCCCACCATCTTTTTCAGGTGTGCGTCCGGATATTTTTGGCCAGACAGTGTAAATCATCTTTTTTCCATTTAGAGAACACACTATATATTCAAGTGAATATAGATAGTAATTTCATATCTTTACCTTCTATGATGTTATTCTCCAGAACTTTGATGTACTTATCTCTGTCTGGTCGGTTATGTTCATGAACAAAACCTAACACATGCATCATTTCGTGTAAAAGAATTCCTGGTTTCACAAAAAAACATTCTCTAGCCAATTTTGATATAGTTCTTTTTCCATCAGGATCTTTTCCTATTATTGTGTCACAACTGTAAAGAAGTGTTTCAATTATTACTTCAATATGGTTTATAAAATTTTGAGATTTTTCAAAAATACTGAGTTTTTTTAAATCCTGGTGTAGCTCGAGCATTGTAATTTTTATTTGCTAACGATAATAAATGTGTAATGTGTGTATGTAATTTACTAACAATAATAAATATGTGTAATTTTTATTTACTAACGATAGTAAACTAACAATCTAAGCAGAATTTACTAACAATAGCAAGCGAAATCATCTTAAAAATTTGCTTTGCGGAAATACCACTGTTTTGTTCATAGCGTGATATATGCATTGCAAATAATTAATACATCAACCAAATAATATTTTGTAAGTGTGTGTATCTCTACCTAAAAAAATGTACTAAATGTGAACAGATAAAATAGTTTTATTTATAAAACTGCACAAAAATTGCAATTACTAACTATAATGTGTTCAATAAATTTATATTTATTATTGTTATTGCCTTTTTTGTTAATAATTTAACACTGTAGCGGCAATGATTAATTATTAAATAGTATTTGCAAACTATTGAAGAGCTTAGTGGGAGATGGTTCTAAGATATATTTTTGAAAAAAAAAAAAAAATATTAGAAAAATATTGTATTTAGTTATACAATATTGGTTTATTTTGCCATTTTGAGATTTCAGTGGATAAAGTAGATAGATTATCTTCAGTGGCTGGACTATCGTTAAAGATTTTTGAAGAACAAGAAGATTCCAAATTTAATTGACGACAAAAGCCTCTCTTTTGGCAGTATATTGAAAGCACAAAGAGTGCGATCGCATCGCTAAGAAGCAAATACTTTAAATAAGCGTTAGCTAGTGTACAGATTACTATGATTTTCAGATTGCGAACGAGAAATAAAGTCAAGGCATAAACCTCATTTTGCAGATAAACAAAAAAGAGCATTATATAGCTCATGGACTGCAATAGCATAAGAAATGCTTTAGTTTGCTTAAACGAAGATTACCTTCAAGTTGAATTATAAGTTGTGCTAGTATTGCTGCTGAAAGAATGTGTATTTTCCCATTTACACCTGTTCTTAGTCCAAAACGCGTGTTTTTTGAGTTGTGCCACTATTGCAGCCCATGATCGATATAAACATAAAAACCAGTTTAACCAACTTGACAATGTTACAGAGAACCTTTATCAACTCTACTCTTTAATTGGTTTTTGTAAAATCTAGGTCAAACATATGATAAATCTTCTTAGATTACCGATTGAAAAGAAAATCACATAGTCGTACAAAAGAAGGGTTGGCCAAACTGTGGCACATGATTACAAGGTGCGTTTCAGTCAGTGCAGTTATTTCGGGAAGATACTGATTTTTTTAAATTAACTTTATTTTGTTCTTAGATCATTATTATTATTATTATTTTTTTAAAAATTGTGTCACTTTCCTTTTCAATTGAACTGATTTGGATATTTCAGATTTAGTTATTAACTTTTTTCACTCTATTGATCTCAGAAGGAGTAAAAATAATATGCAGGGTGTTTATAAATTCCCAGACCCATTTTGTTAATAACTCATAAAATAATAAAGATAGATTAAAATTAATAACATAAATAGTTAGATAGACTCAACAAGTTTCATGACCCTTGTCAATGAGCTTCCACATGTGCTCCCTTCGTCGCATCGAGAATATCAAGTCGATAGTCAATTTCACGCCAGGTAGCGGCAAGAATGTCGGCATCCACAGAGGCTATTGCGGTTGTAATTCTGGCTTTTAGGTCATCAATGTTCGACACGATTCTTCTGTAAACATTGTCCTTTATAAATCCCCAAAGAAAAAAGTCACATGAATACCGTGAGACACAAAGGGATTCCCCAAAGGTTAATGTGTGGTGTGAACTAATGCACGACCGAGTCATTGGGCCTTTCTTTTTTACAGAAAAGACGGTCTCATCAGTCGTATACTTAGACATGTTGGAAAACTTCGTATTTGCACAACTGGAAGAGCTTCAGCCATATGTCTTTTTGCAACAAGATGGTGCCCCACCTCATTGGGGTATCATCGTTCGTGGTTCTTTGAATGACCATTTTCCAGGAAGATGGATTGGGTGAGGAGGTCCAATTCCTTGACCACCCAGATCACCTGATATAACGCCGCTGGACTTTTTTCTTTGGGGATTTATAAAAGACAATGTTTACCAGAAGATCGTGTCGAACATTGATGACCTAAAAGCCAGAATTACAACCGCAATAGCCTCTGTGGATGCCGACATGCTTGCCGCTACCTGGCGTGAAATTGACTATCGACTTGATATTTTCTGTGCGACGCAGGGGGCACACGTGGAAGTTCATTGACAAGGGCCATGAAACTTTATGAGTCTATCTAACTATTTATGTTATTAATTTTAATCTATCTTTATTATTTTATGAGTTATTAAACATCAAAATAGGTCCGAGACTTTATAAACACCCTGTATATTGATTGATTGATTATATCGCTGTTTGCATAGAGCAGGTATGCGAATGGTAGTTGCATTTTTTAGACATAAGCGTGTATTGTTTTATATAATGTGGCAAGGTGAGAGTTGTAAGACCGTTGCCAACAAATTATTGTGTTAAGCTAATAATCCTGTTATGTTCGAGGGTCATTTTTAAAGTCAGAACCTATTACACATTGTTTTGCAGGTATTGTGTTGCCAGTCAAGCGACGTCAGAACAAGGTCGCCAACATTTGGCAAATCTCTAGCTACTTCGCCATTACGTTTCACGTCTCTGCTGGTATTTGTTGTATGGTTATATTGCATCTGCTGTCATCATGTCAATCAGTAATCCCGCCGATTGTGCAGTTCATTCAATTATTTCGTTTTTAAATGCAGAAAAAGAACGACCTGCTGAAATTCCCCATCAGCTTGTTGAAGTTTGTGGTGAACGTTTAATGAATGAGGGAAATGTGTATAAATGGTGTAGGCTTTTTAATGAAGGAAAAACAACTGTTCATGATGAAGAATGATCTGTCATGAATGGGAAGTGCTGGATTATCCACCATACAGTCTTGACTTAGAACCACTAGTCTTTTATTTGCTTCCAAATCTTAAAGAAATCTTAGTGGAAAGTGCTTGGAAAATGATTACACGTTGAAAGAAACTGTTACTAACTGGTTTAACCGTCAGACTGCAGAGTACTTTGATGATAGGATCTCAGAGCTGGTACGATGACTCGACAAATGTTTCAATGTTATTGGTGATGTTGAAAAGTGAACAAATGTTCATATTTCAGTTAGTGATACAATTTGCGTTCATAAATAAAAGTTTCTCTTACTCCATTACAAAACGGTTCTTACTTAAAAAAAATGACCCTCGCATTTATAGGCTAAGATTATAAAAGCTATTAGTAAAGATTGTGGCTAAAATGAGGAGTGTAACTGCTTTTTTTGATTTTAATAAATGCACTGATGTTGGCCTAGCAGCTTGCTCCCGTCACACAATTTAAATGAAACTGTGGTTGTTCTTGGGGCAATTGTGACGTCGATTCCTATATCTTTTGATATCTTAATCGGGTGGATCAGGGAAATACAAATCTTATTCTTCACTACACTTTGCCGATCAAAAACAAAGGGGAAAAATGTAGTTGAAATAAATATTAGTCTTTTGTGTACATTGTGCTTGAGTCGTAAAGGCACACATGCCATTGGAAATTGCCTGTCAAAGTTTTGGCTAGCTGTATGCAAAAAGTTGGTAACGCCTGTCCAAGAGTGAGCCAAGAGTAAACACATTAAAAGCCTATTATGTGATAAAAAAAACTTCAATTTGAAACATCGTAGACAAAAGAAAAAAATAGATATAGGATCAAGTTTGAATGAAATCAATTTGAGACCTACCCATTTCCAGGCTTGATGAAAAGATATCGGTTCTCATCAGTATGAGGAACAAAAAAAATACAAGTTTTTTCACTGAATTCAGCTATGACGTCTAGGAAACGATGTTGTTCATCAATACCTGTAACACATTTACAAAATGCTGAGAAAAAAAAAAGCTTTGCCAAATTTCTGCTCCTGGTAAAATAGTTTAAACATTTCATATTTTACAGCCCTGCACTCATATTCAATGTTTAATGCTAAATAAAAATTACAAGATTGATAGACGTACATTTTATTAAAAAAAAAGTTAAAATTCTTGACAAAAATAAGGGCTGCAATAAATAATCTATTTAAAGTTTAAAATAATAATTACTTCTAATTAAAGAACATTGAATATTTTTAAGTGTTATTAAATATTTTACTTTACAAAAACATCTTGTGATTGAGTAATTTCATGTTTATAACGAACTGTTAACCTTCGTAACGAACCGTTGCATATCTGCCAACTCTTCTGCGTTTTGCAGAAGCTTTCTGTATTTTTTGCCTTTCTGCATTGAGCCTCAAATCTTCTGCATTTTGTAAATACGAATTAAAATTTTGTACTTTCTTAGAACAACTTACAGGCATGTGCATATATCTCATAGAATGGGTTCTCATGTCTTGCTCATAAAATGACATCTTGAGTTAACGCTGTGCTTCAGCTGTTGTAGATATTTTAATAATGAAGAATATGTGTGAAAATCTTCTGATAGTTAAAAAATAAAAATATTTTTTTTCTATTTCTGATCTATTTCAATTAAGTGTGTTATTCATTTAAGGAAAGTAATATTTCAATAACTGTTCTGTTTATTCTTCAATAACTGTATTGTTAACTCGTAAGATCTTCATTTTAATTCATTTATTTCACATTTTTATTTGGGAATCTCTTGCATAGGGGTAGGCACAGCCCTTGATTCATATCTGCTGCATATGCAAGGAAACAGATTGGACAGTTGACAATAATTGCATGTAGTCAATGCCAAGTATCTGATTTCTTTTTCCAAACAAAACCTTTGAATATTTTTTTTTATGTAATACTTGTTTATTTTTATTTTATTTTATAACCATCGGTGATTAGCCGAGCCATTTTTTTGGGTTTACGACCACTAATGTTTAACTTCGTAACCTTGTTATTTTGAACCTAATCCAGAAGACAAAGGAGCTTCTGGATTAAGTAGAGAGAGAAATTTGCATACGTTGAAGACTTTTTGATGGGAGTAACATGGAGAGAAAAAACCACGACATGGAGAGAAAAAACCACGAGGGAAAAACCCCTCTGCCTGATGGCAAAAGGACTCAAACCCATGATCCGTCTACCACTGAGAATACACTCTATAGCAAAAAAATCGACGCACCAAGAAGGAGTTTTCCGATTGAAACGAAAATTGGTGGATTGGAAGACAATGTACTGAATAGTAAATGATTAAAATTTCAGAACAATTGAATAATTTATTGCAGAGTTACAGTAACAAGTTCAATAAGGTGTTGATTCGCCTCCAGCCTGGATACAAGTTGCCACACGGCGTGGCATAGACCGATAAAACTCCCGGATAGTCTCTTGCTGTATTTCCTGCCAAATTCGATCCAATTGTCGAACGAGGTCATCAACATTCCGTGCCAGATGCAATCGCCTTCCCATCACATCCCAGACATGCTCGATGGGAGAGAGATCTGGTGATCTGGCAGGCCAAGGAAGAGTTTGACAAGCTTGCAGACAGTTCATAGCAGCACGTGCCGTATGTGGTCTAGCATTGTCCTGCTGAAAAACCAGCCCAGGGAGCTGCAAAAGGAACGGTAGCAAAACAGGTCTTAGGATGTCGTCGACGTACCGTTGTGCAGTAAGTGTGCCTCTAATGACGACCAAAGGGGTCCGGCTGTCAAAGGAAATGGCACCCCAGACCATAATGCCTTGTTGAGGGCCGGTGTGGCGTGCAATAGTGAAGGCAAGATCCCCCCTCTGCCCTGTGCGTCTCCAAACAAGTCTTCGATGATCGTCAGAACACAGTTGGAAGAGGGATTCGTCGCTGCAGACTATACGTCCCCAGTCGGCATCATCCCAGCCTGATCGAGCCATGCACCACTGTAATCTGAAATTTCAAAGCAATCGGATGATTGCTTCTTGGTGCGTCGATTTTTTTGTTATAGAGTGTATTTTACTTCAGCACTGTGGTCGGTGCAGGAATTGTATCCATCGATCAGTCACTGCTGGGAGCTGAGCTAAGTTCACCTCATTAGAAGGCGAACTATCTATCACCTGAGCCACTATGACTCTTTATGCGTTATTTTTAATAAAATTCATTGTTAGTGGTTCAAAAGGGCATGGTAATAATAATTTCATCCATGAATAATACATCCATTTACATAGATGGCGTTTTACGCAAGGTTATATTTTATTTGTAGCATTTCTTATTCAGCCGGATTCAATGTAGGGATTATATGACTCTATGGCATCCATGTAAGATCTGTTGTTTTTTCTATTAGATTCTTGTTTTGTTTACAAACGTGATTTAATCTGACATTAATGCAAGAACACAACACCGAAAAAGATGCATCTATCTTAGAATGAAGTAAATGAAGTTCGCAAATTTATTTGATCCTGAGAAAAAGACACACTTTAAAAGTTGCTTTAAATATACTAATTAGTTACTTTAACGTATCTATTAAGTTATGAAATCAGACACAAAGGTGTACGTTTTTATAGCAAAGAAATCTTTTTTTCCCCCAAAAGATTCGGATTTTTCGTTTTCAAAATAATGAGGGGAGGGACTGTTACCGTTTTGAAAATATGGCTCTAATAATTGAGCCAGGAAAATTGTCGGTAGTTAGGTCTTTTGATAATAATTATACTTTTTTGCATCTCCGGAACTATTTACTCAAATTACTTTATTTTTCTCACAAAACTATTAAGTTCTATTATAATGGAAAAAAAATAATTTTTAAGAAAGGAAAAAAAATTGCATTAAAAAATCATTGATTAGTTTCTTTTATTTAATGTTTAATTCTTAAAAATTCTTTAAATTGCTAAGTATTAAAGCTTTTTGCTATCTTGATGTAATTTTTAAATAGCAAAATATAAAATTCGAGATAATTTGACCAAATACTTACCGACAAATAAAATTTTAAAAATTTAACTTTTTGAAATTTTATTGCTGAAAACCTATTCAACCGGTTTTCTGCAAATTTTGACTTTTGTCATTTTAAATCGTTTATCAATTTGGATTTGATTGTATTAAGCCTTACAATTTTTATATCAATAAATTTTGCTTACCAAATTTCTCAGATAATTTGTAAGGTACGACACCATCTTCCCACAAAAGTCTCGGATCCCTTACAGCTGTGCGAAACTAAATTAAAAACAAAATTTTGTAGAACGTTTAAAAACATGTTTAAAAAGTACACAGGGATTCAATAGTTTCAATGTAGTCAGTTTATTTTAACTTTGTTATTAAGAGAGAAAACTTTAAAAATTTTTAAGACCATTTACATATATCGAAAGTATGCACATTTAAAACCACTGTTCTGAAAGCATGAGGAGAAAATAATCAGAAATATAAAACTGTTTTTAACATTAATACGCATATTTTAGAACACTGTTCTAAAAATATAAGGTGTAATTCCCTTATATCAGAATTATAAAACCACTTTTGGTATTGATACGCAGAATTGAAAACATAGTTCTAATAATGTAAGCTGAAATTATTATATTAAATCAAAATTATAAAACCATTTCTGGTATTTAAAGTCACAATTGAAAGCATTATTTTAAAAGTATAAGTTGAAATTTTAAGAATTACAAACCTAAAACCACTTTCAGTATTCACAGGCGTATTTAAAACTACATAGTGGCACATTTAAAACCACTGTTCTGATATCATGAGTTGAAACTAATCAAAAGTATAAAATTGTTTTTAACATTAATAGGCATATTTTAGAACACTGTTCTAAAAATATAGGGTGTAATTCTCTTGTATCAAAATTATAAGACTACTTTTAGTATTGATACGCATAATTGAAAACATAGTTTTAATAGTGTAACTGAAATTGTTCTATTAAATTAGAATCATAAAACGATTTCTGGAATTGAAATGTAAAAGTATTGCATATAAATTCGTGCAAAACATGTACTTATTAAAACACTACAGTGCGTATAATAATTTGGTACAATTGTTATAATATACTTATATAATATCTGATATAATAAATGTTCTATATTTATATAAAATGTGTTTAATTTATCCAATCGTCGAATTTATATTATATAACGTCTAATTTAACCAATTGATACACCAACGTAAGCAAAGTGCAAACCGGTTTCAGTAGTGTAAAAGCAATAAAGCTGCATAGTATTATAGGATAATTAAGATTCATTATAGAATCCTTAGTGCGTCTAATAATTTGGTCAGGGACTGTAAGTTGAAATTTTAAAAATTAGAAATATAAAACCACCATAGGCGTATTTGAGAACATAATTTTTTGGTCAATTATGGAGGATTTAGAATAATATCAACACTCTTAGACAATTTCATTTATTTCGACATCTAAGATAGGAGGTCACGGTCAAGTTACAAAGGTTTTGCTATCTTTAATTAATGGAATAAATTTGGTTCTTGATCACTTAGAGACGATCAACTTAGAGAGGTGGACAATTTATTACTTGAAACTACACTATTTGGAACATAGCATGAACTATAATGACATAAACCCATATTTATTAAAATTAATAGGAGGTAGGGCCTCCTTTAGCTGCGATCACAGCTGCAACCCTTCTGGGCATGCTTTCCACTAAATTAGCCATAGTGGCAAGAGGAATTTCCTTCCAAATGTTTAACAGGAAGTTCCATAGTTCAAGCTTGCTTTTGGGGAGAGGGGTGCAGGCTCTCAACCGACGGTCCAATTTGTTCCAGAGATGTTCAATTGGGTTAAGATCTGCGGTGGCCACTCCATGCGTTTAACGTTGTTGTTCAGATAAGGTCCAATCAAGAGTCCTCCTTGCAACATGGGATCTTGCGTTTTCGTCTTGATACAAGCAATCATCCATACCGTACGTTGCCCACAGGGTAGGAAGGACATGATTGTCGAGGATATCACAGTATCCATCGGCATTCATCATACCATCAACCTTCATCAGTGGACCAGCCCCATACCGGGAGAAACAGACCCATACCATCAATCCTCCTCCACCAAACTTTACAGTTGTCCCGTCACTTTCTTCCAGATAGTGTAGTCGAATGATTTTATTTCGGTCTGTTATTTTATTTCTCAAATGATCTGTTGTATTTATAGCAGCTGATAAATTTGTGTTAAATATTTAAATGCAGAAATAAATTGAAGTAGCACTTTAGTGGATTATAGTATTTACACCATCGTTTTTAGTCTAATTAGAAAGAGACATTAAATAATTTTTTAGCAATAATATTGGTAAAATTGATATTACTTCTAAGCTTTCAACAATTTCCGCTTGAAATAATGATTCCTCTAAGCCACCACTTAGTAAATCTATTATACTTTTTTCTGAGTTTTCTTTCGAAGTTTCTGCAAGTTCTGTAATAAACAAGAGAAAGATTATGCGTATTAAATTATAATTATAATATGAATGACTTGAGTATTAAATCTTCAATATTGTATATCAGTAAACTCTTGATTATCTGGTATTCGATGTTTGATATTTCCGTTCGTCGGATATTCGTGTAAGCATATCTAAGATGATACTTACGGCTTTATTAAGAACTGTGGAAAAAATTACCAACATTTTTATTTGAATCAGATAAATACAATTTTAAACACTGTAAAGATTTAGTTATGTTGTTGTTATACTGCACATTGATTTTCGATGCCTTAATTTTAAGTGTCTATTCAATGATTTCTTATAATCAGAAATTATATGATGGTAATAAGCTGAAATATAATCAGATGGTAATAAGTTATAATAAATTGCGGTGCTTGATTAATATTGATCGCTCAAATGTGTAAATGGTAGGTATACGAATCCTGATTTTGTAATTCATAAATAGCAGTGCTGCGTTGAAAAGCAACCACTCGCTTATTTATTAATTGATCTTCTACTTGAAACTACCACTATGAAGCAGTTTAAGTAGAGTATACGTTTTAAATAATAGTGTCTACGTTATCTTACAATACTATAAAAATATAACGTCCTCATCACAAATAGTCAATGAGAAGACCTCTTATCACGTGATTTATTATCAGTGAAAATGTAACACGAACGATGATTACGTTGCCCCCTCCCCTGAAGGACCAGTCTGTTTACCATCAGCAAAAAATTAACAAAAGTTATAAGTGTATTTTTTTTTTTTTTTTGCAAAATATTTTTTTCCCTAATACACAAAGGTTTTGATTATTATTCCGAATATCTAAGGCTAAATGTATTAACCATTATATCATTAATAAATAGTTATTAAAAGCTTTTTGTAAAACTGTGTCTAGTTGACATATGCACTTAAAATAATGAATTCGTGATCGCTACGCTTGAATAAACCATCTGGGGTTGGACTATGGTTCTATGTCTTGACCCTCCTCCTTCCCTCTCCGCCTCTTCTCAGTCTACAATGAATGTACTACGATATTTTCCCCTTCCATAACATTTTTCGTATTTAATTGTTAAAAATATTTTCTAAAATTTTTCCGACACTTTCGTTAAGAACTACATTACATGCAATTTTGAATTCCATATTGTTTCATAACTTGAAAGTGTTTGAATTATTTGAAAATCAGGACAGAAGCTGAGGTACTTCCTTCTCCTATGATTGTCCGCACGCTAAAGGTGAAAGGTGAAGTGTTACTATAGGTAGAGAGCTCTTTTCTGTGCCTCCTGTAGTCCATTCTGATCGCCAACACAAAACTGTAAGGTATAATTTACGAAATTCTTTTCCCGCATTATTATTAAAAAATCTCTTTGATGAAAAATATTTAACGAGTTTTAAAGCTCAAAAATTAAATTTAAATTTACAAAGCAAATGTTGTAGACGAAGTTGCAATGGAAATCGAACAAACTTGTTAGGATCATAAACTTTTAATTTTAAAAGTCGCAATAAACTGATTTCTTTGAAAAGTGATTTATGTGTTCAAAAATAAATGGATTCTCATATACATAATTCATACACATAAATGGTTTATATTACAAATAGAATAAGAGAAATGTTTGGACGAGGGAGGTGGTAAGCATGAGCGTGAGAGAACAAAATTCTTTTAGTGCATATTAATACTTCCTTATTAATAATTTTTACCTTGATGCTCAATGGGTTAAAAATTGGCTCAATATGAGCCTATATGAAAATGCACCGAGAGACCAATATTGGGATATCTAGATTTTTTAATATTGATCCTATATAGGGTTAATATCGGTCTTTATAGGGCCTATATTGGTTGAATAATGAATATGAAATATCGGGTGCATCGGAGTATTCCATGTAGGGCCAATATCGAAAAATAACAGCACTTTGAGCTCTTATTGAGCCTAGATTCGTGAATATTGATCCAATGAAAGCCCAAGTTATTTTGTTGCTGGGGGTTACTTAATAATTTCAACTTTTGAATTAAAAAAAATTGTTTTGTGTCAAGAAACGAAAACTTTTGAGAATGAATCAAGGCAGTTGGGGAACGGTTGCCCTCTAGTTTTATAATAATTAATGCTGCATGACGTGGGAGCTTCAATCTTGCTTTATATATCAAACGGAAATATCGATAATTCATGATGTATCACGGTATTTAGTTTACACTGTTTGTAAATTGTTCAATCTCGTGGTAATATCGCATGCGATAATTATCCTTATCGATAAAACGCTTGACATTATAGTATTCGATTTTTATCTTTGTTGAGATAGATCGCAATATTATCATACATGATAGTTATCGTAATCGATAATATTAGCAATATTATCATATTTGTTATTTATTGTTGTCAATATTGATTTGATGATTATTAGAAAGCATAGTATTTACGGGAGAATACATTTTAAAATATCATTATCGTTATACTTAAAAATATCGATATTTTATAGCATATCGATTTATTGATCTTCTCTAATAGTGTTATTCACGCGATATCGCTGAACTAATGAACTGTTCTCCACTCAATGATTTAATTTTAAGTCAATAGTATTTAAAATAATTTTTTTATACATCTAATTATGCATTCTGTCATACCATTTGGTCCCGTGAGTTTCAGATGATTGGAAATATATTGTATATGCGCTTAAAATGTGCTGTTTTAATACTGCTTTAGATACATTAGATACATAGATACATATACTATAATATTTCATAGTTAGACAGAATTTTCACAGACAGTTCACAGAATTTTCCATAGACAGTTTCACAGAATTTTTAAGATAGATATTTTTAAATAATTACCTGAAACGTTAGGATATTTCTTCTGAATACTTTGAATCTGAAAATAATAAAAGTTTTTCTTTTATTTCGTCACGTTAAAAAATATCTCTTTAAGCAAATTCAATTTTTTCTTAGATCAAGATAAAAAAAATTCTTTAAATCAAGATAAAAAAAATTATCGAATTCGAAATATCTATTTTGATTAAAATTTGGGGCCTCTAAACTTCTGTTGAATTCTTCTTTCAAAATCTAAAAACCTAGTGGCAGGGGGGGGGGAGGAGAAAAGAGGGAATGTTTATTGGGGTTTAAAAGTTCATAAAATTTTTAGGAGTGTTCGGACAATTTGAGTGTTTTTAAAGACATTATCAACCTCTTGCTTTGATTCATTTCTTCACTAGCTGATTCATCATACCAGTCCAATGTAGTTTAAAAAAAAAAAAAAAAAAAAACAGTACTGTTGCAGGGTTCTGGGAAATGCTCGCTTTTCGCGTTGCTAACAGGAAAAGGAATCACTTAAGACTACAGATTTTTACCAATATTATTCAAATAATATGTATTTTTTTCTTTTTCAAATTTCATGCCCAAATAACGAACAGCATTTTTTCTTTTCAAGTTTTATACTGTTGTTTAGTTTTCATATTTTTATATGTCATCTACACCACATCAATGGCCCTTGAGAGGTGAGGGATTTTGCGTTTAAGGGCTCTACTTTAAAAGTCATTTAAAATTTTTAAAATTGATCTTATCTTCTAATTCTACGATTTTGATATATATGAAGGGTATTGGTCCTCTAGAAATGCTTTCTAGACGGTGTCAACGACTGTCTCCTTTTCTATTCCAACTATATGATAATATAAAAACAGGGTTTTCAAATTTTTTAATACCAAAACTAAACTATAAAAAGTTATCTTCATTAAATTTTTTTCCCGAGTATCATTGGATCGAGACATGGGCTCGAGTGTCGTTGGCTCGGGAGTTCTAGGAATGTGGCCCCCAGAGCAAATTGCCCCACCCTTGGGTCAGATCTGTCCAAGGAGTTTTTTTAGGAATTCATCTTAGAGTTAGCTGTGGTGGGTAACTACAGTGTGTAAAAAAAAGTGAACACCCTGAATAACTTTTGATCCAATGATCCGATTCATGCACTAGGTCTCAATCATAATCGTTCGAGAACCTAACCTTAAATATACTAATTAATTAGAGTAGACGATGTTTTAAGTTACTGAATATTGACACAGTAATGAACTTTCTCTGAATAATTTTCGTTTGACGGACCTTCAATCAAAATATGCAATCAATAGCCGCAAACAGCCGCAATCTAGAAAATAAGTTCCCAGTTTAGTTAAGAAAGAGGTAGAAAGTTTGAACCCCTTAATGCTAATTTTAGTTTTTGCGTATCATATCATTTAATGAAAGTATTTAGAACCAATTTCAGATCACTGATTCCAATTGAAATGTTCAATTCCATTGTGTTTTGCAATCATCATGTTTCTTCTGATTATTATTTTGTTAGATTTAGTTTTAAAATATAGCTAAATTACACTTTGGGTAGTCAGGTACTTTGACATGCCTTGTTGGATTGGGGAAAGTGCAGAAGAGTAGTTAGATTTGACTTGATTTAAATGGCTTATTTCAAAGTTGTTTTACAAAGAACTAAAGCACAATAAATTGCATAGTTGCATTTTTGAGTCAATAAATCACACTCCACCGAAAATGCGGACTGAACCCCTTAACTTGCGCGCTCGTTTTAATTCGAGCTCCCTAAACAGGCCAAACTGTGCACACTCGAGATAATTCGAGCGGCGTTGTATTTTATGATGCTATAATTTTTCACAACTGAATATAATCTATAATTGAAAATAACAATGTGAAATATAAGGAAAAAAAAACCAGTTTTATTGATATTTAAAAAAAACGAAGATTTTTTTGACCGGTTTTTTTCAAAAATTCTCTGTGTAAAGTTTCTCTCCATAATTATTATTTTTTCTTCAATATCCTGTATGTTATATTCATCAGACAAAAATTGATTTCGTGTGGTAGGACAATAAGGTATAACATTAATAAAATTTCTCTGTGCTTTTTTCATTTTCTACATCCTTTGTCTCAGGGAGGAATGCTTTATCGTCTATTATAATATTTATTCTTCGTCATTACTCGCTTTTAAAATTAGCAGCGGAATCAGCTGAAATAAATCCTAGCATTTTTGGACATATACAGCGCATTTCGTTATTACGGAACATTATAAAAACAATTAAAGGATAAATTTCAAACTACGTAAGCGGGAACTAGTTGCAAAATTTGTCAGAATTACTAATTTACTAGCTTTAGATTTTTGCGCAAGGAACAAACATTAATCCATTTCAATTTTTAGATTTTTCGCTGCATTTTTGGTAATCTGCTCTACTGTGGATTGGTGAAATGAGCTCAGATCTCGAAGCTACCATAAGTGAGAGAGCAATAGCGAGTTGTTACCATGTTCTTTTTTTAAAAAAAAAGATTAAAAGAAATCAAAATATAAAACTGAGGTATTAAACAAAACTTAACCAGAATTGGCTAAAGAAGATATCGCAGGTCACTTTTTGACCAGGGAAGAACTGCGTAACGTAATCTATTCCCGTGTTGGAGAGGGATAGCGATCAGCCCCCAAGTGGAACCCCCAAGAGCTAGATTGAATAATTATTACGTTTTTTAATTAGCGTAAAAGTGACACACTGTATTTTTTTTATTTTTAGAATATCTTCAGAAATTATGAATGAATTGTAAGTTAGGAAGGTACATTCTATACTTCCCTGGTGCAGGGAGAAAATGTCAATTTTTTCGCTATTTTATTAGATTAATAAAAATAATATTTTAATAAAGAAATATATATTTTTGACGAGTTAAAATTATTTCAAGGTATTATCATGGAATTTCTAATTTTGCAGCAGGAGAAATAAAATTGCAAGAAATATTTTTGTAACATAAGTCCCATCCCTTTACACCCCATTCTTTAATATTATTGTTATTAAAACTGCTCATTAAAAAGATTGTAGTACTATTAAATGTAGTAAAATTGTTATAATATAGTAACAGTAGAGGGGAAAGAATACTCACTGTGCTAGAGAAAGAAATCTGCAGTATTGCAAATAATGATGCTAATAACATCATTGAAAAATGATGGCTTGAACAATACTGTCCTGTTTTTGGCAGTAAAAATGAATAGATAGATGTTTTTATTGAAATGCGTATTGTTCTGTAATTTTAATCGACTTAATAGCGTTGAGAAAATCATTCTATGCTTCGTAATGTTTTGAAATCTGGCCTTGGAAATAAATGGGTTAGTTGAACATTTATAATGAACTGGAAATGAATAGTTTTAAGAAATACGAGGCGTGTATCCATTGTTTTAAAAACCATTTCCTTCTTGGTGGTGCTGAAACTTTAATAATTTTTTTCATTGATTACTTCATTGAATGAAATTTATTCGAAATGACTGCAGAAAAAATCAGTTGATGCGGAAAAAATAACGGAATTCCGTTCATTATCCTAAAATATTTAGCTAAATAAATACCGGTATTAAATGACAATAATAATATAAATTTCATTAGTTTTATATCCACTGTTGAAATTATTTCTATCAGCTACACTTATATTTGTTACTCAAACGTTTTTTAATGTAGTCATTTATAAAATGAAAAAAGAAAAAAGGTTTTGAGACTTTCTGAAGCATATAATATTTTTTTAAAGGGAAAAAAAAGGAAATTGTTATAATCTTACAAGTATTCGCACAAGATGGTTCATAGTGAAATTTTTTTTAAAAATCTATGTCAAAAATGGAACAAAAAGAGAGTTCACACATAAATGTTCGCTAATTATTATAGAAGTAGAGAAAAATAAATATTTTATGTTAACGTGGATGAATACAGAAAGAAATGGTATTAACTTGGAATCTGTAGAGGGAAAGAAAAACGAAGGAAAGGAAATGCATGCATCTACAGCTCATCTAGAGGCCTATATCAACTAAATCTCTTCAAATGGGGTTGAAATTTAAATTGGCGTTAAATTGTGTGTACTGTATTCGGAAGACTTGATGTTAAATTTATTGATATTAAATACATAGATACAGATAAAATTTCAGCCCTCTAGCTACTCGGAAATTAATCAGCATTTTGATTGATGATCAATTTTATTTGGAGATAAAATAATCTTAAATTCTGCTTGTTGCGATAAGAAGACATTTGAAATTCGTCTAGTCATTAGGCACAGAAGTGCAGTTAAATTTAAGCGTTCTAGCCTGGCTTAAGGGTATTTCCCCCTGCATGCGAAATTCTGAGAAAAATTTGTAAGCAGGTTCTCGTTCGCCTTTCCGAATTCACAGTCTCGATGCGAATTTCTGAAGCGAATTTGATATTGAATGCGAAAAATCCATGTATGCAAATTCAGATGCCTAAATGAGAACCTGATTTGTGGAATATATTTGCCCGCGAAAAATTAGTCAGTCACTTTCTCAGTCACTGCTGCAAAGATAGTAGTTCGATGAACTAGAATTTAAAGAACTTTTTTCCACCACTACTTATAAATATTTTAAACACTAGACTAAAAGTCAGACAGAGAAATGATCATTCTCCAAAATACTTATCAAGGTCTTATAAGAATTTTATTTAATTTTAAAATTTCGGCTTTATTTTACTACTACTGATAAATGATTCTCACACAATACTCAAATGTCGCAGGGTATGTAGTATGTACCAAACAGTATATTAATGCAAATAAGTACAAAGTATTATTGAAATATATTTAGTAATTATTAAAATGGCACCAACACTGAACAGCTTTAATGCTTAGTTTAATAACGTTAAGTCACCGTTTTGGGTAACAAATAATAATAAATAATGAAATAATCGTAATTATTTTTGCTTTTTTTACTTCTTTATAATAATTGTGTAATTATATGCCTTTTAGTTTCGGGCATGATTTCGTAGCTTCGTTCAGTACTAATTTATTAATGGTTTTCTTTTTTTATTCACCTCGTATACTAAGAACTATTCCATTAATTTTGAATAAAAAATTATGTTAATTTATGTACATGTGATGGATTCGTAGAAATTATTTATTTGTGAGATAAAATCAAAATGAACGAAGAAACATGCATAAATATTTAATACTAAGAGCCTCGCTCCCGACTCGCTTCGCTCACTAACTCTTAACATTGCAATCAAATTACTTTAATTTCTTCACGGTAAACAGAAACATCCAAACTAAAAATTATTCAATTTCGATCCCAAATTTTTTAAATTTATTAACTCAAATTCAGTTTCCGATTCTTTTTGGATAAAATTTAAACTTTTGTTAACATTGCAATTTAGTTTGCAATGTTCCTTTTTCAAGTTCCTACTTGTATTTTAGTTACAATAAAAACTCGTTAAATATTTTTACCTAAAAATATTATTTCGCAATAGTGAGAAAAGTAAACTATTATTATGCTCTAGAATTCTTAAAATTTTATTTTAATTACACGTGTTAATTGGTCACCGAGTTACATAAATCTAGTTACAATTGTAGATATAATTTATTTACTATTTAATATTTCTAAAACGATTCATCAGCTACATACAGTTTTAAATATGTTATAAAATGTTGCGTAAATAGGTTATTTCAATGGATTACTTCTTTAAAAGACACAGCTTTTGGTTAGAAGCCTTTAATTTGGAATAATAATTGGAATTAAAACGTAATAATAGCAGAATATAATAATAAGAAGGGATGATGATAAGTGAATATTGTAAGTAAATATCACAAAACTAACATTAAAAAGGATCCTTCTCAGGAAAGTTTCCCAGACCGTGGCCAATATCCCATTGTGCAGCTCTAGTGAGACGTAAATAAAGTTTTACCTACCATATCTACCGAAAAAAAAAGTTATTTCAAAGGTCATAAAAATCATTATAACTTTTATTAATTTTATTCCCATGACAACTAAAGAAATTAGGATCTTCTTTGTTACTTAAGGGTTCTATTATACGATTTTTCTGACCAATAGTGAACCATCAACAATGAGAAACAATTTTAGACTATATTACTAGGCAACTCCACTCACCAAACCTCGAGGTCTTTACTCATTTATCATCGCTTCTCTAATTAAAAAATCGATATTTTTTAATAAAAGATCATTTTGTACTTAAAATATGTAACTATTATGATAATTTTATATTAGAACAATTGGTTAATATATTAATGAGCGATTCCTTTGAAAAATAAGTTACTGTACTTGAAAAAAAAAATTAAACTTAAGAAGATTGTATCACACAATAATTTTACTTGTTAATATTATAAGCCAATGACCTTTGATCACTAAAACTTTTCAAATTGGAAATGGCTTTTATATGTATGAAAATTTCGTTATAAATATTAAGATTTATAAATGGCAATATCTAATCTTTTCTCTTATTATTTCTCTTCATTTTGTTTTCTAACTTTTTTATTACTTTTAACATCAAGTCTTGTGAGAGCTAATAGAATACAGACCTCAGGAGGTATACATTTTTCTGCAAAAATTGGTAATTAATGATTTTTTAAAAGTGAAAAACTGAAAACTAAATGCAAATAAAACACATAAATTTGCCATAACGTTTGATAAAACTGGGTTAAAAAAAACTTTTTTGAAGTTTATGAAAAAAAAAAAGACTTTTTCAGCCCGTCAAATTTCTACTTTGTAGTTGCATTTCCATGGCCAGCAGAGTGATCCTCATAGTATGTTTTGCTAAAAGTTCATCAGCAGTAATTTCTTGAACGAATGATTTCTTATCGAATGTGAAGCAATTTTATTCTACCCTATTTAATTTATTCTTTACACAACTTCGCAATTTCAAATTTAAGTCAAATAGTTTTTACGAACTGAAAAAAAAAAGGTAACTTAAAATACTAAAATAGTGGTGATTATAATAAATCTTAAAATACTAAAATACTTGAATACTTAAAATAGTGGTGGTAGTTATAGAAAAGCTAATCATAACTGAATTATGTAGAAAAATAACTATTCATTTTATTACAAAATATTCGTCAAAAATTTTCTTCGATAATGCAAGAAATCCTAATTAAATAATGAACATTACAAAAGAAATTAATAAGTTTATTTGCCATCTGCTTATACATATATGGTATAAGAGAGTAGCTTACAATATGAAGTAATAAAGCCAAAGTTCTTTCAATTTTTGCGCATAAAAAGGAAAAAAAAAGGTAAACGCACGAAGGAAAATAACGGTAATTCATTAGAAATGTTTTTATTTGGCACATACTACACAAGTAAATAAAAGTTGTTTTTCATCTTCGTCTTCTGCTATTATAGCCCAATCTGGCGATAAATAATTCTTGTTATTTGTTTTCTCATTATTTTCTGTATTTCTGTCCAAGCATATGAATTTAGTGGAGATGCTGTTATGGGCTCCGCTCATAAGAATGCCATCATACACCTTATCCCATTCCAGAGGACAATCTGTTTTTCCAACAAATGTTTCAACTGTGCCCCGGGCACCAAAGCGACACTCTGAGCAGGTTAACAGATAATTATCACTGTTTGGNAAAAAAAAAAAAAAAAAAAAAAAAAAAAAAAAAAAAAAAAAAAAAAAAAAAAAAAAACGTAAGAAACACATTCCTTTTACGTGAATCAAATTTGAATAAATGCATAATTTAGATCAAAACACAATTAAAAATTTGGATATATATAACATACATAACGGAGAATTACAAAATTAAAAAAAAAACGAAAATTTTTTTAATGGGAAAACGTCAAGGTTTTCTTCAAGACGCATGAAATGTGATATTGTGATATTTCCAATGTGAAAATGCGATATGTGAAAATGTGATATTTCCAAATAAATAATAATTATCCTAATATAAAAATTACTCTTTATAATGCGTCTATATCGCTAAAAAAATAAAATTGTAATTGAAAATGAGTTTGAGATAAAAGAAAGCAGAAAACAAACTTACCAACGTGGAGTGAAAATAAAAATGTCTTATAAAAATAAAAATATAAATAAAAGTAAAATAAAAATATAGATATACTAATCTAACAGCTAACAAAATTCTTTAAGAAGAAAATTACTTTTTGTGTATTTCACCAAATCTCAAGATTTTTTTATGCAAATGTGTCTGATTTCGTAGCTTAAAATATCGTCTGCACTAATTAATTAGCATATTAGTAGTCGTCCTCTCGAACCATTAAGATTAAGATCCGATCATTATATAAAAAGTTATTCATGGTGGTCTTTTTTTTTTTTCGCTCTGTACATCG